TTAGGCCACAACCACAAAAGCTATCTTTCAAATTTGCTTGAGGAGTTAGAAATTACAAGGACTATTGCATCTGAAAACACCACTCGGGCAAAGGAGGTGTATTCTGAACAATACAATCGTAAGGCTAAAGAGCCAGATTTCTCCCCAGGCCAAAGAGTTTGGCTATATTGTCAAAAAGTAGAAAAAGGCCTCTGCAACAAGTTAACAAAAAAATGGTATGGCAGTTACTACATTGTTCATTTAGGTCCAAATTTCACCTACAAACTGCGCTGAAGTTCTGACGACAAATTACACAAACCACTGGTCCATGCCAACCGTCTGAAGCCATATTTCGATCCAGCTGAACGCCCACAGTATCCGCCAGAACCATACCTCAACAACAGCAACAATATGGATTCAGACGTCGTAGATGACAACGAGGAACAAGTCAACGACCCACAGCTTGACAGCAACAACGCCCAGTCAACAAGTTCAACAAAGGTTCAATCGCCTGTACAACAGAGAGGTAAGAAAACCAATCCAAATACTCCTACGAAGAAGAAAGCAACTCCGGAAAACTCTGCTGGCCCCAGTGCAACAGTTACTAAGCAGAAGCAGAGCACCCCAGGTCCAAGTAATCCAACCAATCGCAAGGAGAAAGGAAATACAAACAAGGGAAAACGAGGAATAAACAACAAGCATCATCAGCCAAAATCAAGGCCACAATCAGAAGCAAGTCAAGTTCAACAACCAACCCAACAACCAACGTCAACAAATGATGCCAAGGTTTTCAATCCTGATGACATTCACTCAATTCTTGCTTCCAAGAGAGCAAATAACAAAATCTACTACAGAGTGAAATGGACGGATCCTGAAAGAGGAAAGACATGGGAAAGAATATGGCAGCAGCATTCCAGACTCAATTCGGAGAGAATTTCACGTCAAGAGAAACATGTCAGGAAAACGACGAAAACGGCCAGTGAAGAATCACAAATTTTTCAACCAAAGAGAATCAACACAAAACGATAAATCAGTCAATGTACTGTCAAAAAGTTTCAGACAGCAATCAATCATTACAGACCCAGTATTGGACGTGGAACCATACCCAATGGAACCTATACACCTACGTGAAATCAATCAAAATATAAAGAGAGTTGTGGGCATTGAAATAGTTCAAGGAGACTGCTATGTCAAAGTCTCGTATAACTATGACAAAAATGATCATAGATATCATACAGCATATTTTGAAGCTGTTCCTCTCCACCTCATACAGGATTACATCAATGAGAGCTGGGTGGATCTCTGTCAATGGTTTGATACTGCCACCCCAGAGGATTATGATACTCCTGGTGAATTACCCATCTATAAATCCAAACGCTCTTTTGTACAAGAAGAAGGCATCGGAATTGTTGGCTCCTTTGAATACCGTGCAGTGCACACTGATTACAGAATCCATATACCTTACCAATATTCATTCCCGACCCACACCTGTGGTCGCCAGATAGTCATATTCCTGCAAAAGGTACAGCACCTCGTTAATAAATGGATCTGTTAGCTCTGGGGAACGTATATTTGTCCTGTCATTTCACTTTGTGTTACCTGATGTCACTAGTTGTGAGCAAATGACATCAGCCTGATCATCTGAGTTATTTGCATCACAACAGATTTTGAGCATTGATCTGATCAACCAATCTCAAATGCAAAGTGAACTCATATGAACTTAGCCAACACGAAACGAAAGCGAAATACTCTAGACCGTAGCAGAACAAACTTAGCCAACACGAAACGAAAGCGAAATACACTGCACCGAAGCAGAACAACTTTAGCCAACACGAAACGAAAGCAAAATACACTGCACCGAAGCAGAACAAACTTAGCCAACACGAAACGAAAGCGAAATACATCCCACCGAAGCGGAACAAACTTAGCCAACATGAAACAAAAGCGAAATACACTGCACCGAAGCAGAACAAACTTAGCTAACACGAAACGAAAGCGAAATACACTGCACCGAAGCAGAACAAACTTAGCCAACACGAAACGAAAGCAAAATACACTGCACCAAAGCAGAACAAACTTAGCCAACACGAAACGAAAGCGAAATACATCCCACCGAAGCGGAACAAACTTAGCCAACACGAAACGAAAGCGAAATACACCGTCCTGAAATGGAACAAACCTTACCCAGCACAAAACGAAAACGAAATACACCGTCCCAATGTGGAACAAACTTAACCAACGCGAAATGAAAGCGAAACAAACCTACCAACGCGGAATGAACATAACCAATGTGAAACAAACGAAAATAAGCCGTACCGAAACAAAAAAAATAACGCGCAAAATGCTGTATTCGAGTGAATTAAACCGAACCTCAGCCAAACGTACAGGCCGAGCTGAAGCGAAATGAACAAAATTTCAGTGAAGTAAACTCAAAATAAACAAAAGCTAAAATAAAATAAAATTAAACAAAAATCCCTAAACAATTAAGATGTTTAAAATGTTGAAACTAACAAAATCAGCCAAATTAAAAAGGTACCTAACAATATATCCATACCCATTCATATGTACATACCCACGTACATTGTTTATTCCAACGCAAATAGCATCATTTCATTCCAGGTCACGACTGTCATTTTGTTTTCTTCCATGCATTAACAACTCAAAATTTATTTGCAGGGAAATGTATCTCCATATATATTTACTTCATGTACATTTCATTTGTATGTACTCTGTACACTTGAAACCATCACAATAAGTTTTTATATATTTTGACTGCACACTAACTCTCATTTGCTTTGTATTTTCATGAAAATCAACTATCTGCATGGGATAATTGACAAATCAACTCCAAACTCGGGATGTGGAACCACCACAAGGCCTTCTTGCACCTCCATCACTTCAAGATGACCCAGTGCAGTGCCAAAACCAGCCAGATTCCACATTCAGACACCCTGATGACAACAGACACAACCTCTGCCCAAATACCAAGGGACAATAATATATATATATATATAAATATTATTTACTGTACTACCAGTTTCATATGATTGTCCATACACTAAGTTAATACCATTGTCCATCTAAGAATCATTTTTTTTATATTTTTGTTCAAGTTTGGGGACCAAACTTTTTCAGACAGCGGGGAAGTTATCATGGAATAATAATTCATACGAAAATTCATTATTAATTATAACCTCTACAAGCGATATATTAGGATTCAGATATTAGGAAAATATAAATATAGAATATTAGTTTCATCATGTATCTGTAATAGCTTAGAGAAAGACTCCAGTCAAAAGTAGTAAACTCATCTCACAGACATACTATTGAAAAAGGTATAAGTTACAATATCACAGATGTTCAAGATAAATCCTAGCCTAAGGTTTCAAGGACTCAAACCTTTCAGTAAGACAAAGTAATGTCTAGACGATTTTATGAACTGCTTTGATAAAGTAAATATGTCATCATCTCCATTAAAATATATTATGCAAACACTTTAAATTAGGGTCATTAAGCCATCTATTGTAACACCATAACTATCCAAGCAACATGTCAGCACAATTAGTGCCAGTTAAATTAGGAAGCTTCCAGGACATGTGTCAACACAATTAGTGCCAGTTGAAATAGGATTAGCAGGATTAAGTACTCCCCTGTCTGGTCATTTCATTTGTAGGACACACCCCATACCGCATATTCTGTATTTCATTGGTTAGTATAGGGAACACCCATTTTGTATCATTCAACGAATCATAATCTTTTTATTGTTTCAATTTTAGATAAATAGTCACCAACTACATTTGTTTGTCAGTAGGGTTTAGACTCCCAACACAGGTCATCTCTAACCCTCAGCCCAGAGGGTTGTACCGACTCTCTGTGGCCACCCCATGTTATTTTTGTTCTTGTTGATAAAATTGTAATTAGCTTCTTGTGACTTTGGACTCTTTGCTGAGCTAATTCCCCCCAAGCAGACCAGCACGCCAGATAGATAAGGGGTTTCACCAGAACCCTGACTTTGACCCAAGACCCGTATCATAATACAATACTAAAGCCCTAAATGAAGTCTAGATTTCCTCGGATTCTGAATCTCCTTTCTCACTGGGTCTTCTTATCAATTTAAAAGGAATTGTTTGTTTTGATAAAAATATATATTTTCAGCGACTAAGCATTAGTCTTATGTTGAGGCATCTTTTTAGAGTAACTGAATACTTTGTGTCTTTTAATTTGAACTTGAAACTTCAAAGTCAAACATCTTGCTGGAGAGACATCTGTCCTGATGATCTAGTGAAAAGAGTATCTGCAGGGGTTCAGTGCCCCAGATGCATCATACCGTAACATGTTAAATGATGGTACTTTTTGTTGCCCTGCCTGGTGCTCGGCATTCAAGGGAGATAACAAGGGCTGACTTGGTGATGAGATCACTATGAGGAACGGGGCCCAGGGAAAATGGTGGCCAATACATGATACATGGTCCATATTGATGTGATAATACACAATCAGCTGGGTTGTACATTGTATACGTCAAATGCCCACGTTGTCTAAGGTTAGCTGAGCTGAGCTGCATCCGTTGGAAACAGAAAAGATAATAATTGTGGGTTTGAATCCTGCTTTGATCTGATTTTGTTTTGCTGAGTGAGCACCACAGCCATGCTCATAGACTTGCATCACTTCAGACTTTTCGCCCACATTGAGCTGTTAAACAGTGAAATGACTGGAATACTGTTCATAGCATGGGAGGAGGGGTAGCCTAGTGGTTAAAGTGTTCACTCGTCACTCTGAAGACCCGGGTTCAATTACCCACATCTGTACAATGTGTGAAGCCCATTTCTGGTGTCCCCCACTGTGATATTGCTGGAATATTGCTAAAAGCGACGTAAAATCGAAATCAGTCAGTCAGTTATAGCAACATTTAACTGACTTGCTTACACATTTATGACAGGGAAGGTGTACTTCAGCATAAGAACATCTTCGTTACTTTGTTCTGTCACCTTTGTGTTTCCTCATCATATTGTGCTTTCTTACAGACTCTGCATCCGAGCTATACAAGCAACAGTCTGGCCTAGTGCCATCATGAAAGTCAAACAGCTCGAGAAGGAGCTTATAGATTGTGACCAGCAGACCACAATCACCACGGAAACAACCATCAGGGAGGCAGTGGACAATTCTCCTGACTCCGCCCGTAAAGGAGGCAACCCACAGCTGAACAAATTAAGTGTCGACTACAGACAGCGAGTGCGCGAGCGGCACAAGTTCCCCTCTGACCAAACAGTGGACAGTGTCAGCCCTATATGAACATTGAAGGAGACAGTATGCTGAATCATTGTATAGAATATGCCAACTGTTATTTGGATTCTGTGGGATGATGAACAGTCAAATGTCAAATATGTTGGAGAAATCCCATATTGGAAGGTTGAAACCAGAGGGTTTGCATGTGGAATTTTTGAAGATTTTTTTCTCTTTTTTTGAAGAATTTTTTACAAGATCACGTGGAACCTGTCAAACATTATATACTTTTCTACAGACTGGCCACCAATTTTTTAACCACATTCTCCGAAAAAAGATTTTCCACAGCACTGGACAAGGGTCATACTTTCTATATGCGTCACTTTTCTCACAAGACCACTCACTTCATGGGATCAATAAGGTAACATGTAGATGAACTTATGAATCTATAAGACAACATGGATGTTCTGTGAGGTCATTGCGACATTATTCTGATCATTTCATTCAGGATATGTCTTAGTACTGTGGAAGCATGTTATGTACGGTTGTGTTGCGTATGACACAATCACCACAAGTTTTATATGCTGCATCGACACAAGTGTATACGTTCAGCCCTACAGCCTGTCAACTGACATACAGTCTGTACAAAATGACTCCAAGATCTCAGGAACAGTGTTGTGGGAAAATGCAGGTACTTTCATGTGTAATAACTGGCTAAATATTTGTGTTAAAGGCAAAATATTTGTAATTTTTAATGCATATTTTTGTCTGTATTGTTTGAATAACTTCAGTTCAAGATATGTTTTTTGAACAAATATTTCTTGACCTAATAATTTACAATAATTATATTGGATCTCAGCTCTAACCATATGAAACAAGAAATTGGTAACACCTGAAATTTAGTTGTTCCTGAATTGGCCTTTAGTAATGTTTTCCAAACAGCTTATTTTGAATGTAGGTTGAGCATGAGCCAATGCATGGAACTTGGTTGTTCCTAAATAGGCCTTGGGTATTGTTTTCAAAACAACTTATTTGAATGTAGGTTGAACATGACCCAATACATGGAACTTGGTTGTTCCTAAATAGGCCTTGAGTAATATTTTCCAAACAACTTATTTTGAATGTAGGTTGAACGTGACCCAGTGCATGATGGGCTGAGATGTAACTATCAAAACAATAATATTCAACAGCAACATTCCTGATAGAGGAGGCTGGTTGTTCTTTGATGTCTTTGTTAAATGCTCTCAAAGATGTTTGCTGTGATAATGCAGTGTCAGACCTGTGGCAATCTGCGTAGTCCCAGCCTCCAGGCTAATAGCCGAGGGAGTCAAGTTTTAAAATCTCCATTTATTTTCTCAAATATAACCTTCGGGTGATTTCTTACCATAATTTCTTGGTAAACTTTCGAGAGGTTTGAGTTTTTAGTTTCCCAAATAAACAAGATAATGGGAATATTAGCATGAAGAACAGACTTTGTTTGTTGAGTATTTGATTGCTTATTTTATGAATGGGACCAGAAACAGTCCAAAAACAGAATTGATATATCTGCAGATATTGATCTCTACTTCCTGTAAATTAGGTCATAATTTTTATATTTGTATGGATCACAATTCCATCAACCCTATGTTGTTTATGATTTAACAAAACTAATCCAAAATTATGCATAATTACTCAAGTGAAAAAGGACAAAAGAGGAAGCTGTCAGCTCATGGCACTCATGAGATGAATTCATAGTTTTTAACTTATTGTCTAATTTCAGATTCTTCTTTTTCCTCTCCTACAACTCTTCTCACCGTCGACACAAAAAATAAGACCGATAAGCAAATGATTAAATAATGGCCATGTTTGACATTACCATTACAGTGGTTTTGGTTATTTGGTTGTTATCCGGTGTTTATATTTCAAAATAATAGTTGTTATAAACTTATGAAATACTTTGGCATTATTAAGCTGATGTTTTGGCCTGCAGAAATCAAATGAGAAATGTGATTTGATGTCAATTAATAGTGGGCTACATAATTCATAAAATCACCATAAATTTGGACCAAATGCATAAAGACTTTAACTGAAGTGAAAACAACCATTGTGGACAACAGTGAGAAATACGACTGTAGAAACAAACAATTACTGACATCTGTAGGACAGTTCTGTAATATACTGCTGTTATAAAGTGCTGAATTTATGTACATGTTTATATAGTATTACAAGGTCAAACACATTCAACAAAGCAAAATCACACTTTTAACAAATGTGATTATGATAAACAAATTGAGCATGTCAATCAAAAAGCTGAATTTGTTGATGGCAAATTAATCTTTTCATCTATTAATTCAACATGAGCAACTGAGGTTGTAGGTTGAATATGAGAGGTAACTATATTATGCTGCTGGTTAATGTATTGTTCTGTGAGGCACTGCTGCCCAAGGGGAGATAACCCATTTTGTTTGAATAGTGCTCTTCTGTACATAAAACCAAATATGTCACTTTTTTACTTGATTTAACATGTTTTGTTCAAATTGTTAAGAATATGGAGTATGTTGTAGCAAGTAAGAATATACTCAGTTTTCAACATTACTTTAAAATGGCCTTAAGTCATTCAGAGGAATCTGTGTAAGACATCTAAGATAGAAATTAAATGACATTTGTATTGAGGAAACACCAACATTGTTCTGGAAGTTTTGTAAAAAAATATTTAAATTTGATATGAATTGTGATGATGACGATGATGATGATTATTATTGCAATCGACGTTATATGGTTTGCAAGGTAATCAGAAGCATGAATTTAGTTCCGTTTACTACAACAAATAGTCCCGCCGGTGAAGTGAATGCTTTGGGTTATAGACTGTAATTGATTTCAGATTAACATGGTAATTCAGTTTTCTTACATCCATGGGATTATTTGTCATGGATATGAGATATCCATGGCTATGTGCATTTTGGTTCATGTGATATATATATATACCTGGTATGCTGATTTTTCAAGATTGTGAGGGAGCTGTGGGGTAGCCTAGTGGTTATTGCATTTGCTCGTCGTGCTGAAAACCCGGGTTCGATTCCCCACCTGGGTACAATGTGTGAAGCCCATTACTGGTGTCCCCTCGCCGTGATATTGCTGGAATATTGCTAAAAGCGGCGTAAGACTAGACTCATTCACTTACTCACTCAAGATTGTGAGGAATTTAGAAATTGATCAAGATACTGTTTTTTGTTGATGTTAGAAAAATGATATAAAACTGCTGAATTTTATGCAATGGTAGGTCCTGCAGATTCTGAAACAATTACCGGTATATTCAATACAGCCCATGCATGTCTGTTTGAAGAAAATCTGTGTTCCTTTTAATTATATTTTGTTATGATAATTTAAGAACCATTTGTTCTACATGTACATATACAGCACAATGCTTAGTTCTGGTCAATACTGTTGTCCCAGAAAAACTTTCAATGCCTCTATCATTATTTGTGTCGGACAGCTTTAATTATGCATATTGTAACAAGTCAGTGGTGTACAAGACTTGGGCTATGCAAGCTGATGTGGCTAGGTTTTCTGTAAATTGCGACATTTTCATGTCTGAAACTACTGGGTCAATGAAACTGTACAAATCAATCAACACATCTCAATTTCAAGATGGCCACACGTAGTCAACTGTATACTCAACATTCGGCAAGTGTTACACATGAAACTGTACAAATCAATCAACACACCTCAATTTCAAGATGGCCACACGTAGTCAACTGTATACTCAACATTCGGCAAGTGTTACTCATGAAACTGTACAAATCAATCAACACACCTCAATTTCAAGATGGCCACATGTAGTCAACTGTATACTCAACATTCGGCAAGTGTTACTCATGAAACTGTTTAAATCCTTGCGGTTTTGTTTGTTTGTTGATTAACACTGCACTTATATGCAAGGGATGCGACCATGGCCTTGAAACGATGGAGTCTTTGCCAGAGTGGTACATTTCACTCACAATGCGACATGTGAAGATCCGGGTTAAGATCGGTCTTTAGCAACCCATGCATGTCGTAAGAGGCGACTAACGTGATTGGGTGGTGAGGCTCGCTGACTTAGTTGACACATGTCATTGTATCCCAGTTGCATAGATGGATGCTCATTGGATTGTCAGCCATATAGCTGGAATATTGCTGCGTGTTGTTTTAAACAAACAAACAAACAAAACAACCACTCTCAGTGGTCACTCTCTTACAAAACCTTAACATGGAGATTGACAATTTTCTATCTTGGTGCACACAGTTGGCCTAGTTGGCTTTAGCACAATAATTGTCTACGTAGAGTTGTTAACCTTAGGTGTGCCAGGATCTGCTGACTGGTCTTGAATCCCAGACGCCCTGATTATGATCCTTGGATTGTAAGCATCACACAAGATTCCACACCATGTAACTGATATATAGCTGTAAGTTGTGATAAACAATGTACTCACTGTAATACCATCTTGTGGCACAAGCTAATAAAGCTAACCCACCCAATACATTATTTTCACTCTGAACTCATGCATGAATGTTTTTTTATGGAAAAATACAAATTGATGAATCAGAAGATTCAGGGGTACAATGATTGTTTTATTTATTGTTAATATATTTATATATGTACTAGTATTTCATCTGTATCATTTTCATAATTTCAATTGTTTTCACAAATCACGTGTCTCAGATTTGTACAATAATTTCTTATTCTTTTCCTACACTTTACACTCAGAATACTGCCGTGTTTGTACAAGTTTTCTTTGTATATCTACGTTGAGGTCAAAACCCTTTTGGGCTGGTATGACTGATACTGTTTTATGAGACAAATACTGAAGTGTTGATACCCATTTCTATGACTGGATTTGGTCTTTTCAACAAATGTTCTTTGTACCAGATGACAAAAGGTAAATTTTTATGCCCCCACCATATATCGCAGGGGCATATAGGGTTACCCTCGGTGTCCGTCCGTCCGTCCGTCCGTCCGTACGAAACAGGGAATGTATTCTATCCACTTCTCCAGCATAACCGCTCTGTGGAATTCAATGAACTTATACATGGGCTTTCTTGGGACTCTAATG